CTCGGATGGAGCTCATCCAGGCCTGCCGACTTAAACGCATCCAGTCCTTCCAAGTGACTCTGCACCATCTCAGGGTCAACGCTTGGTAGTCTGGTGCCCAGCTGTTGCCTCTCTACAATCTCACTGTGAGACTTGTCTTGCCCCTTGTTTAGCAACACTGAGGCAAAGAACTCATTGAGTTCAGCCTTGTCCCCCCTGTCTGTCACCAATTGCATTTGTTCATTCAGTAGTGGTCCTATACCTCCCTGGGCCTTCCTTTTACTCCCTATATATCTGAAAAACAATTTTTTGTTATCCTTAACTTGGGATGCCATCCTCAGCTCCATGGTAGCTCTGGCCTTTCTAACTGCCTCCCTACAACTTTGAGCTGAGGAAGAATCTCTCCCTGTTTCCACTGCTTGTATGCCCCCCTTTTTGCCCTTAGGCTGCTCTGGATTTCTCTGGTGAGCCAAGGAAGCCTCTTGACCCCTTTCCCCCTTTTCCCTGGTCTTTTTTTACTTCCAAAATCGTATAAGGTGGTGTTATTGTAAATGAAAATTGGCACTTGTGTGGTTTTAATGACTGCATCTGCATGTAGAATAATTTAAGAATTAAACATTGCAACCACATTTTAATTTACCTTGGGATGATGTATATGGTTCCGTGTAGTGTCCGTTGTAATGCAACTGAGGGGGTGCTGGCATCATGTAAGGCTGTGGCTTAGGCTAAAAAAGAAGGTTTTTAAAAGTAGTTAAAATCTACAGGACACATTAAAAAGAAGAACGAGGGGCTATTCTAAAATGAATTTTCTTAATGTTAAAGCATAAAATATTGGTTCACAGGACCAGAAAAGAATAAAAGCCATCAACGTAGTGAGACACTTAGAACAGTCTCCAACACACACTAGAAGATTTTAAATTGAAAACCGAAGTATCCAAAATAATTAAAATAGTGTTGGTAGTAACAGTAGTTAAACATAGACAATAAGCAAGAGTGGGCTCAACTGTGAGACTACTTGATATACATACCAAAGACATTCTGGAAGAAGACCGTCTTCTAACTGGATTCACTGTAACAGTCTGGGTTTGTCTATAAAGAAAGCCATATGGTGAGCTAATTTTTTTAGAACACTTTTAGATCCAGTCCTGCTAGGTGCTCATGACCTCTGTTCGGAGCACGCAGCAGTACTTGGAATTAGGCCCTATCTTGCCTCCCACCGGTCCCAAAATGAAGGCCTATATGCTCAAATCACCATCACTGTTAGAAAAACCAGCAAGAAAGAAAAAAGGGTGAGGAGGGACCCATTTATTTCCACTGCTTCTTCTCTTCACCCTCCTCTCTAGGCTGTTCTTGCACAATGGGCTTCACTAGTAGCCATTTTCCTATGGTCATCCGCTAAATTCAAACCGCCATGTTACCCTGCAAGCTCCCTGGCCCAGATGGTTGTATTCATAATTACCAATAAAAAAGCCTCAACACATGCCACATTATACAAATAATAAACCACCGCCACAGCTGAATTAGGATTCTCCATCCTTGAACAAAAATTTTAGGCACACAAATATTGTCACCATCACTAAATTCTGTATTTGCCAAATAACTGAATGTTGGACTAGTCAGAAACATGCAGACCATTTTCTCAACCCGGCATTGTTCCCGTACCCCATGGCTGTAAGTAAAACAATGACCAGGAGGATACCAGGGCAATATAAACACAGGACATGCAACATTTCAGAAAGATAGATAATTTTCCAGCTCACCCTTTGGGAAGAGTAGGACGGGAAAGGATTGGAAAGCGTGGAAAAGAAAGAATGTGGAAAGATTTCTGAGAGCCTTCCACAGGTGGAGAGTCTGGGGAATCTCTAAAGACAAGGTACATGCAGACAAAATGGAGACAGTCAACTAGTATATTGAAAAGAAAGGCACTTATTACTAGGAGAGAAGGCATTTTAATTGAGCTTACGCAGGTCTAAAACAACGTTTTGCAGCCTGGATAACAAGATAACCTTGCCCCTCTAATACTGCAGAATAGCAGAAAAGTCTTAAGTATCTGCAAGGAAGTTCCCAGTCTGGGAAAAATTAAGAATCACTGTTCTAAACAATTTAATTACTTTACAAAAAGCAGTTATTGTGAAAGATGAGGAATTAACAGCTGTGGAGTTTGACATTCACTGTGTAACAACAGAGCAGATAACACTTCAGACAACAACGCCACATGCTTCCCACAAACGTACAACTTCAACTAAGAAGGTCCCCCTTCCTCTATTCAGAGGCTGTGAAGGCAATTTAGTTTCTATTCCAAACCAATCCTACAACTCTTCTGAGAGTTGTAACAAGCGAGTCAATCAGTTGTACTAGTGGCTTTTGTGGCATCATCTCTTTGCTGACTTCAGCAGGCTCTGAATTAGGCCTTTTGTAAACAACTTAGTGCTTGGCTATGAAAAAAGGAATGAAATTAAGTATTCAGGGAATCAGACTTAATACAACAGTCTACCCACTGAGCCCAAATTGTTTGTCTTGGGCTTATATACATCTAGTAATTTGACAGAAAGCAAAAGAATTATTTTGATGTAAAAGAGGAGACAAGAGTTGGGATCTTGATTTGTATCTGGGGAACTAGTCCACTTTAATTGTATTTTATTTATTTTTATTTACTGATACTACTTCAGCTATATGGATTTTGTATTTATCTAAAGGACTTCATACATTAGAACCATCAACCCAGCACTTGTCAAGAAATCTGCATGTACTTCCCTTGCCTAAAATAAGTCCAACATCCTTTAACAATTCAGTCAAAAGTGCATTCAGAACTCCATGGATTTCAGTACCTTGCAAATACAATAGTATTAATAGCTCACATAAATGCACAAATGCATAAATGCACTTACAGAACTGAGATCCAGTAACATAAAGAATGTTATGATTTTAGTTATGTCTCCAGTTTAAAAAAACACTGTCTTCTATTATAAGGGTGCAAGTGTATAACGTAAGCATTTTCTATAATGTAAATCTTAGAATTGGCAAATAATCTTTGGTCAAAAGCATAACAAGTAATTAATTACTGTAATCTACAATAAATTACAGATGATACACAACATTTACATTCATTATGGTATTTAGATGCTTGGAGTCCTTCCAAGACTATTCTACTTACATGCTACATTTATTTAGTCTGTAAAATTTGTGCCTGGCCACACACATCCTCCACACATATTTTGCTGTTTCCATGTCTTCCTGCCAAACACACAATCAAACAAAGCATGTATTAGAAAAATTATGCAGGCTCAACCCTGAATTGCATCAAAGTCGAAAGACTTTTACCACGGAGTCACATCAAAACAAGATTTGGTTCCTCTTCATTGTGATGGGGGAAGTTTTCAAGTTTCTTAAAACCTGAGTAAATTAGCAGGCCTAATGGAACTGAAAATAACAGCTCTCTCTTGAAGACAATCTTAGGAACCATAAAACTGAACTATCTTTTATACTGTATATATCACATTCTTAAGCCTTTTGGAAAAAATTACAGCTTTGAAAAGGGAAACAGACATGCTTTCTGAGCCAAGTTCTATAAGATGCTCAGCACTGATTCAACCTAGCAAGGCCTCAAATATGTGCTTATCTTTAAACATGTGAATAGTACCATTCACTTCCAAGCACTACTTAAAATTAAGTACATGCTTAAGTACTTTCTTGGATTGGACCAGAATGCTCAGCATGTAAGAACATATGTAAGAACATAAGACGTGCCATTCACTGAGTCAGACAATAGGTCCCATCTTGCCCAGTATCCTGTGTCACACTGTGGCAGAGAGAGGATGCTGAAAGGGAAAGTGAACTGGGCATGATCAGGGCTTTTTCCACTGTTCTTCTCTCACTTGCAGCCCCCAGCATTTCAGGTCTCAGAAGAGGTCTGAATCAAAAGCTATACAGCACCTTCTGAAAAGGGATCAAACCTTTAGTTTATTTACTTAAAGGGCTGAATTTTTAATATTGTTTACTTTGCTAGAAAATGGCTGAACCAGCCACAGAAATTAAAATGCTGTAATATTTGTGTTATCCTTACTTAAATCTGTCACATATCAAATACAAACGTGAAACATATTTGGAAAAAAGTAGCTTTTTAAAGTCTTTCCTGTTTTGTGGTTTGGTGATATAGAAAGACAGAAATTAAAAATTCATTCTCTTACAGTTTGGAATTGGATGGTCTCTTCTTTATTTGCCAGCTCTAGTGCAAAAAAGGACTTGTTGTGGGACATGTTGGCAATGTCATGCCACCTAAGGACAGAAGGGAAACAGTGCAGGAATTAAGCTCTGCATTTGCATGGTATAGCAAAGGTAACCTAGGAACAAAAAGTATCTTGAGGGCTTAGGGTAGGGGTGGGCAAAATACAGTCTGCAGGCTGGATCTGGCTTGCCAACTGATTGGGTCTGGGTCACAGGGAGATGCCCACCAACTGATTATATCTGGCCCACGGCTGGCCCTGTGGCAGTCTGCAAAGGGTCAAGCCTTGCCCATTCGCAACTGGGGAAGCCTGTACTGCCCTCCTGTCTACCAATTGCCCTGGCTAGCATGCATAGCTTCCCAGTGGGACTGCTCCTGGTGCACCTGCAGCTACCTGGATGTTCTTGGCTCCCCCGTGCTCCTGCTGCGCCACTCAAGGCAGCAGCTAGCACAGGGAAAGGCAGCAGCTAGCACAGGGAAAGGCAGCAGCCATGCGGATGCACGCTGGGCACCACAGATCCAGCCAGGCTGGGGGAAACTCCTGCCCTGGCATGTGGGAATCCAGCTCAAGGTCCTGGCCACCATCCATCCACTTGACTGCTTGCAGATGGCTGGCTGCTCATTGCACTGGGTGGGTGGGTGGGTGGGC